AAAAAAAAAAAAAAAAAAAAAAAAAAAAAAAAAGAAAAGAAAAGAAAAAAGAAAGAATTTTTTAAAATGAGTAAAAATGGGCTTTTTAATGTTTCTTAACCATTTATGTATTCTGTGTTTTCCTACCCAAAGCTAATGAATCAAGAGCCTTCTATATGCCAACCATTGTAGCGGGGCCGCAGAATGTGACTGTGTCGTTACATCAGACAGCCGTTCTAGAGTGTATGGCCACAGGATATCCCAAACCCATCATTTCCTGGAGCCGGCTCGGTAAGTTGTCCTCCTTCCTCATGGGTGGAAGGGGGGAAGGCAAGGGAGTTTTTCTCTTGAACTTTATTCTTTTTAGTGAGACGAATAAAATGTGTGTTTTATAGATAAGACACATTTGGCAGTTACATCTTAACAACTTTTTTTTTAGCTTTGCAATGTAAGGAAAGCTTATGCTCCCAAGAAATTGCTACTTTTTAATGATTAATTTCACAGAGAGTGATCATTTGCCCTCATTTCAGATGAAGTGTGGTGTTTCACCTTCTGTGTTCTCTTTGAAACAGATCACAAGTCCATTGATGTCTTTAACACCCGGGTCCTTGGAAATGGCAACCTCATAATATCCAATGTCAAGCAGCAGCACACTGGAGTATATGTTTGCCGGGCCACCACCCCTGGCACACGCAACTTCACAGTTGCTATGGCAACTTTAACCGTATTAGGTATGCATTCTTTCTGTAATCAGGAGAAGCTTATGTTTCAATATTTGCCATTTTAATTTCTTTCATGGTGTTCTTTTTTTAAGGTTTTGTTTTTAATTATGTGTGCAGTGCCCAAAAATGCCAGAAGAGGGCACCATATTCCCTGGAGCTGGAGTTACAGGAGATTGTGAGCTGCCCACTGTGGGTGCTGGGGACTGAACTCGGGTTCTCTGTAAGAGCAGCAACTGCTCTTAACCACTGAGGCTTCCTCCAACCCTGCATAGCTTTCTTTTAACTCCGAGTTTGGCAGCAGTGGTAGGAAGGTTGAAAATAAGTATTGTAAAAGCCAGTGGTGAATTTTAGGGGAAAAAATTAAATTCCTGTGTTAAAATACAGCTCTAGAATCATGTTGTGAAGCCACCATGTTTATGTACATAGCTTCATGCTTCTTATTTAGGCCTCCCTACTCCTTCTCATCCATCCACATCTGCGCACACTTAACCCTCTAAACTCAAGCTCCTGGTGCCTGTGTTCACAAGTGTCCCCTCATTGGGCTTAGTTAAGATGGGTTGTAGGTATTGTCAGTGTCTTCACAGGTGGTCTCAATGGACAGAAGAAGAAATTGAACATTAGAGAGAAGCACTGTCCTAGTAATGTTTCTTTTGCTGGGATAAAATACCTCATCCCTACAAGAACCATTTAGAGGAGAACGGGTACATTTTAGCTTGCAGTTCCTTCCGGATTACAGTCTGTCCCTGTGGAGAAGTAAGTCAAAGGAGTTCACATCGCATCCACAGCCAGGAGGAGCGTGAAATGTTTGCATGCTCTCTAGCTTGCCTTCAGCCTGATTTCCTGACCCCATAGAGGTCAGGATTCCCTGCCTAGGGAATGGTGCCGCCTACAGTGGACTGTGTCTTCCCATACCAGTAAGACAGCCCTCTACAGACACATCCACAGGCCAAGCCAATGTAAACAGTCCTTCCCCGAGACTCCGTTCCAGGGTGATTCTGGGTTGTATCAGGTTGACAGGGAAAGCTACTGTCGTAGATACCTCGCTAGATGTAGCAGCTTCAGGCTCTCAGACATGTTTCCACGTGGGGTGCGTCTCGTTTTTGTAGTCTTCTTTCGTTCTTTCTTGTCGTTCCTATGGAAGCTATGGAATATATGTCTTTTTTTTTTTTTTCTTTTGAAATAGCGCCTCCTTCATTTGTTGAATGGCCTGAAAGTTTAACAAGACCACGAGCTGGCACTGCACGGTTTGTGTGTCAGGCAGAGGGAACTCCCTCACCCAAAATGTCCTGGTTGAAAAATGGGAGACGGATACATTCTAATGGCAGAATTAAAATGTACAACAGGTAAGCTGTGCTACTTTTAGATAAAATAGTGCCTTTGTTAGTTTTTACGTGAAATGGTTACCGTAACATCTGATCACCACATAATCTTGTCAGCTAACACCAACTGTATGGAATTAAAGTTTATAGCATTAGTGTGCCGTCTATCATTTTTATTTTATGCCTGATCCAAAGTGATGTGTTGTGTTATAATGGAGAATATGCCAAGCAGCCCCCCAGACGGCAGCTCTAGCCCTGGCAGGTCACCAGCTAGGTGACCACAACAAACACGGACTCTAGTGTCTTAGTTCCTTCTCCCATCAAGTGAAAAAAAGTAAGAATGAAGTAATTCTTACTTCCTAATAATCCCTCTAGAGTTCAAACTTAATGACTTTAACAATGAATGTTGGCTGGTCATGGTGGTGCACGCCTTTAGTCCCAGCACTTCAGAGACAGAGGCAGGCAGAGCTCTGTGAATCTGAGGCCAGCCTGGTCTACATAGAGAGTTACAGGATAGCCAGGGCTGCATAGTGAGAACCAGTTTTTAAAAAAATTTTATGTGTAGTAGTAGTACTTTCTCATCGGGACCGCCAGCCGCAAATAATGACATGGAGACTTATTAAGTATGAAAGCTCGGCCTTAGCTTAGGCTTGTTCCTAGCTAGTTCGTACACCTTAAATGTACGTGTAGTTTTTAATCTACATTCTTTCACGTGGCTCGTTACCTCTTCTCCATATTGCCTATCCTGCTTCCTCTGCATCTGGCTGACAACTCTGCCTCTCTTCTTTCCAGAGTTCTCTCTCTGTCTGGAAGTCCTACCTGGCTATTGATTAGTCAGCTTTTTATTACAACAGTCACAGCAATGCATCTTCACACAGTGTACAAATATCCCACAACACACACACACACACACACACACACACATGATTTTTATTCTTATAACATTCTCATCTAATTGAACAAAACTTTAAATTTTTTTGTTGGCCTGAACTTTATGTGTGCCTTGTAATATGAGTTGAGTATAGACAATAGAATAGAGTAATATGCTTCCTTACTAAACACCATTTAACAACAAAAAAAGTGATTAAAGCAAAGAGAATTTGGCTTCCATAAATACTGATGAAGACTGAGAATACAAATCAGAATAATTTTGAATAATTAACGTAGATTATTTTTAATTAGAACTGGTTGTTCCAGTGTGTTTTCATGTAAGATGAGGGTACATTTAACAATAGCCCTTCAATGTCTTTCTTAGAATTTTTTTATGGATATAAATATTTTCCTTTCCTCAGCAAATTGGTGATTAACCAGATTATCCCAGAAGATGATGCTTTTTATCAGTGCATGGCCGAAAACAGCCAAGGATCTGTTCTGTCTCGAGCCAGACTGACCGTGGTCATGTCAGAAGATAGGCCCAGTGCTCCATACAATGTCCATGCTGAAACCATGTCGAGCTCTGCCATCCTTCTAGCTTGGGAGAGGCCGCTATACAACTCAGACAAGGTCATTGCCTACTCTGTGCACTACATGAAGGCCGAAGGTAGGTGGCGCGGGAGCCTTTTCTCAGCAGCGTTTGCTATCATGAGTGTTTTCAGCAGCTAGAGACATTGCTCAGCTGGTGAAGCGTTTGCCTGGCATGCATGAGGCCCTGGCTTTGATCCCCAGAACTACCGAAACCCGACGTGGTGGCTCATGCCTGTGATCTGAACTCTTGGGAGGTAGAGGCAGGCATATCAGAAGTTCAAGGTCATCCTCAACGTCATAGCAAATTTGAGGCCAACCTGGGCTATATGAACCTGTACCTTAGCCAAACCAAAACAAAGCATTTGTCTTCAGAATGAGCAACAGCTTACACAACTGTTAAGAGAATTTTCACCAAGGGGACTATATACATCAACTCCTGTCTCCTAAGGTCCTGATGGCAAATCAAAGATCTGTCCCACCAGGGAGGTTATTGGGGTGACTTGGAGAGTTACTGACAGAAGCATGAATAATCCTCAAAGCAGCCATGCAGAGAAAAGTCTCTTCTTCTTCCTCCTCCTCCTCCTCTTTTTCTGAGTCAGGGTTTCCTCTGCATAGCCCTGGCTGTCCTGGAACTCACTCTGTAGACCAGGCTGGTCTTGAACTCACTGGGATCTATCTGCCTGCCTCTGCTTCCTGATTGCTTGGATTAAAGGGAGACTCTACCACCCAGAAATTGTGGCAATTTTTAATTCCATGTACGTTGAATATTTTCGTTTTGAAAACAAATTAAACCTGATACGCTGTGATACAGCTCAATGGTAGAATCCCCAAATAGCTGTGTAAGAAGGCCCTGGGTTTAATCCAAAAGAAAAAAACATTAGGAAAAAAGTTGAATAAGACATTTTTGTGGTGTCTCATTTACTATATCAAATTGAATACCAGGAGCTCGAGAGACAGTTCAGTGGTTCAGGTACTTGCTGCTTATGCTAAGGACCTGGGTTCGGTTCTCAGAACCCGCATCAGGTGTTTCCTATTGCCTGCAACTCTAGCTGTCGGGGATGCAACCCTCTCTTCTGGCATCCTTTGGCATAGGCACATATGTGGTGCACATACAAAAATGTAGGCAATCAAATACACAAATACACATGTACACTCGTGTACACTTAAGTCTGAAAAAGTTAAATATCAAATCTCTTATAATTCTTGTTTATCATTACTGGTTTGGGGGGGTTAAGAATAAAATCCTTTTTATCTTTCTCTTAGACAAAATAGTTGCAGAAGCAGAAAGGCTGTTTACAAATCCATTGACTCAGGCTTACACCTGCTAGCTGTATACAGGAGCAGTCTGGCTTTCAAGCACTGTGTCCTACCGACCGGCGTGAGCACTGAAAGAATGGTGCTGGGCTAAGGCTGTCTGCAGAGACAGGTGGCTTGCTGTTTGGGTTTTACACTTCGAAGCAGTGTTTTGAAAAGGGATATTTTGAATGTAAATCAAGGGTCCCTGGTAGCAAGAAGAATGTTCTGGTCCGAGCATGCTGGAGTGTGTTCATTCTCTCCTCTCCGCTGACTTGGGAAGGTGAAAGAAATGCTGGCTTTGGCGGGGCCCACTCGAGCGCACTATTGTGCGGGCTTCATTAGCGCCCCTGCGTGCGGCTCAGCGGTCCATTCAGGGGCAGAACAAGGCTTTTTAATCTGAACTCAAGGACTTTGTTTAGTAGGTCAGAAATTGTACTATGCGGCTCCTAATTAACCAGCCATTAGCCAGTGTGTTGTGAAACGCCTCTAATCTTGTCTAATTAAAATGCTATGAAGTTAATTCAGAAATGTGGGAAACTCGGTGCTGGAATGTGCCTTCTGTTTTGTTTATAAATCCAGGGCAGGGAGAAGGGGCCGGGGCTGGGAACGGTTTGATCGAGTTGACAAGCGCTGCCTGTGGACTGTTGTGCGCACGGTGGCTGGCGGCGCGATGCCTTCGTTCTCTGAGTCTGCGCCGCAGGAATTAAGCCCACACAGACAGATCCCTTCTGTCCCTCACCTTGCCTATCTTACTAAGAATCCCTGAGAATTTGTTTTGCTCTTTAAAAAACCAAATGCTCACCATGGGACACTCTCCCTTTTCCCTTTTAGTGTTAAAAAAGGAAAGACCTATGTTGACCGATATAGTTCTCTCTGTTGACCCATGCATCTCTAGGGAAGAATGAGATTCTTGCAGGCTGGCCTTGCATTGGGTTTGTATTTGTAAAAGGCAGACCCTGTGCATTCCCCACCCTCTCTGTTTTTGCTCAACAGAAAGCCTAACTTGAAGGCAGGCCATTTGCTTGCTGTGGTCCAGTATTCTTTTGTGCTGTGCTCTCCTTCCTCCCTCCTCCCTACAGTCCTCCTGTTTTGACTAGATGGTAAACAACCTTAGAGAAGGTGAATTCTTTTCGGGAAATGTTCCAACCAGTAATCTTTAGACAAAGAGCTTGGTTACTTTTAGGCAGTAAAGACCTTTCTGTGTTCTGAAGGGTTTGGTGTGCAGGCTCATAGAAAATAACAGAGAAAACCATGAAAGGAAATGACCATGCTAGATTTATTTTGAATATTTGCCTTTTTTATTTGTTTGTTTGGTTAGTTTAGTTTTTGAGGCAGGGTTTTTCTGTATCTCTGGCTGTCCTGGAACTTACTTTAGAGACCAGCCTGCTCTCTTACTCAGAGATCCGCCTGCCTCTGCCTCCCAAGTGTTGGGACTAAAGATGTGTGCCACCACTGCCGTGCTGAATATCTGTCATTTTAAAACATGGATGCTTTGGTCTAGGTTTAAATAACGAGGAGTATCAGGTGGTCCTTGGGAATGACACAACTCATTACATCATCGATGACCTAGAGCCTGCCAGCAACTACACTTTCTACATCGTGGCGTACATGCCAATGGGAGCCAGCCAGATGTCGGACCATGTGACCCAGAACACTCTAGAAGATGGTAAGAAAATACAGCTCTGGGTTATCAAGCGTGAACGGTTGTAGATTGGTCACTCTCGGTGAGGAAGTGTGTTTGGTTAAATGGAAACGGTTACGTTAAAGCCACAGGCCACGTGTGATCTCGTAGCTCACCCTTGCTTTTGGTCATAACATGATAAAGGACACTTAAAAAAAAGATTTTATATTTCAAAATTGGCTGTAATTTCAGTTCTAGGGGATCTGATGCCCTCTTCTGACTCTGAGAGCACTGCATGCGTATAGTACACAAATTTACACACCGACAAACATTCAAATAATAACGCATTTAAGAAGGTAGTAGATGGTTTTTAGAAATGAGATGAGTATTTGTAGGCAAGAATCCCCCTCTGCGCAGGCTGGCCAGTGTCTCCTTCCCCAGCAGTTTGCTTCTTTTGTAAAGGGGCCTTCGAGAATCTGCCAAACTTAGGTTTTCTACACTTGACACTTGGTGGACCCCGTGAGTCTCATGGGCTCCCGTAGGGAGCACTTCAGTTCAGAGGACTGTATGTAGGGAGCACTTCAATCCAGAGGACTGTGCCATTTAACATCAGGGCATGCTCAGGCTCACACACAAACACGTAAATAAATTAATAATTAGAAAATAATAAATTTCATGTTCATTTTTAATATGAGACTTTTGTTTTATTGAGCTCTACATTTTTCTCTGCCTTCCCGCCCTGTCTTCCCTCCCCTCGTATCCTCTCCCATGGTCCCCATGCTCCTAATTTACTCAGATCTTGTCTTTTTTACTTCCCATGTATGTGTCTCTTAGGGTCCTCATTGTTATCTAGGTTCTCTGGGATTGTGATTTATAGGTTGTTTTTCTTTGCTTTATGTCTAAAAGCCACTTATGAGTAAGTACATATGATAATTGTCTTTCTGGATCCAGATTACCTCACTTAAAATGATGTTTTCTAGCTCCATCCATTCTCCTGCAAAATTCAAGATGTCATTATTTATTTTTTCTGCTGTGTAGCACTCCATTGTGTAAATGTACCACATTTTCCTTATCCATGACAAACAATGCTGCTATGAACATAGTTGAGCACATGTCCTTGTGGCACGATTGAGCATCCTTTGATATATACCCAAAAGTGGTATTACTGGGTCTTGAGGAAGGTTGTTTCCTAATTTTCTGAGTAATCGCCATACTGACTTTCAAAGGGTCTGTACCAGTTTGCATTCCCACCAGCAATGCAGCAGTGTTCCCTTTTCCCCACAACCTCTCCAGCATAAGTTGTCATCAGTGTTTTTGATCTTGGCCATTCTGACAGGTATAAGATGGAATTTCAGAGTTGTTTTGATTTGCATTTCTCTGACAGCTAAGGATATTGAACATTTCCCTAAGTGTCTTTCAGCCATTTTAGATTCCTCTGTTGAGAGTTCTCTGTTTAAGTTTGTACCCCATTTTTTTTTTTACTGGATTATTTGTTCTTTTGATGACCAGTTTCTTGAGTTCTTTGTATATTTTGGAGATCAGACCTCAGTCTGATGTGGGGTTGGTGAAGGTATTTTCCCATTCTGTAGGCTCTCGTTTTGTCTTGTTGACTGTGTCCTTTGCTTTACAGAAGCTTCTCAGTTTCAGGAGGTCCCATTTATTAATTGTTTCTCTCAGTGCCTGTGCTGCTGCGGTTATATTTAGGAAGTAGTCTCCTGTGCCAATGTGTTCAAGTGTACTTCCCACTTTCTTGTCTATGAGGTTCAGTGTGACTGGCTTTATGTTGAGGTCTTTGATCCATTTGGACTTGAATTTTGTGCATGGTGATAGATATTTTCATTCTTCTACATGTTGATATCCAATTATGCCCACGCCATTTGTTAAATATGCTTTCTTTTTTCCACTTTGTATTTTTTGCTTCTTTGTCAAAAATCAGGTGTTCGAAGGTGTGTGGATTAATATCTGGGTTTTCGATTCGGTTCCATTGGTCCTCCTGTCTGTTCTTATGCCAATACCAGGCTGTTTTCAGTACTATAGCTCTGTAGTAGAGTTTGAAGTCAAGGATTGTGATGCCTCCAGAAGTTTCTTTATTGTACAGGACTGTTTTGGCTCTCCTGGGTGTTTTGCTTTTCCATATGAAGTTGAGTACTGTTCTTTCAGGGTCTGTGAAGAATTTTGCTACCATTTTGATGGGCATTGCATTGAATCTATAGAATGTTTTTGGTAAGATTGCCATGTTTACTATGTTAATTCTACCTACCCAAGAGCATGGGAGATTTTTCCATTTTCTGGTGTCCTCTTCATTTTCTTTCTTCAAAGATTTAAAGTTCTTGTCATACAGGTCTTCCATTTGTTTGGCTATAGTTACTCCAAGATATTTTATGCTTTGTGTAGCTATTATGAAGGGCGATGTTTCTCTGATTTCTTTCTCAGCCCATTTATCATCTGTGTACGGGAGGGCTACTGATTTTTTTTTTCAAATATTTATTTATTTATTTATTATGCATACAATATTCTGTCTGTGTATATGTCTGCAGGCCAGCAGAGGGCGCCAGACCTCATTACAGATGGTTGTGAGCCACCATGTGGTTGCCGGGAATTGAACTCAGGACCTTTGGAAGAGCAGACAATGCTCTTAACCACTGAGCCATCTCTCCAGCCCCTGATTTTTTTTTTTTGAGTTAATCTCGTATCCTGCTACATTACTGAAAGTGTTTATGAGCCTCTTACGCATCAAAAATTTCTTAGTTGCAATCTGGCTCCTGGGCTTTTGTCCTCTCACTTGCATTGAATCTGTATTTTGGTAGACTTATGTGTGGATTTGTCTCTTATTATATGATTAGCCCGTATTCATCTCAGGTAACCCTAACAATCCCAGCAAACTGCCGGCCATACTTGGATGGCCCCCTCAATGTGTTTCCTTTTTTTCTGGCTGGAAGTCAGCTTCACTGAGAACCTCTCCTCCAGCCCGGAACATCTCCATAGTAACCATGTTATGTGTTGCCATTGAGAGGATCCCATAAATATGACTGTGCTGAGTAGAAGCTTGATTGTAAATCTTTACGAACAATGTATTTTCTCACTTCACTAGTGCCCCTAAGGCCTCCTGAAATTAGCTTGACGAGCCGAAGTCCCACCGACATTCTCGTCTCCTGGCTGCCAATCCCTGCCAAATACCGGCGCGGCCAAGTGGTGCTGTATCGGCTGTCCTTCCGCCTGAGCACTGAGAATGCCATCCAAGTTGTGGAACTCCCGGGGACTGTGCATGAGTACCTCCTGGAAGGCCTGAAGCCTGATAGCGTCTACCTGGTCCGGATTACAGCTGCTACCCGCGTGGGGCTGGGAGAGTCATCCGTGTGGACCTCACACAGAACGCCCAAAGCCACGAGCGTAAAAGGTAACACCTCCCAAGGCCCTTCCAGGAAGAGAAGTGTTTTACTTCTGAATTAGAATTTTCCACTCCTAGTTACATGTAACAAATTTGTTACATGTAATTTTTTTAATTCTTATGTTCTGTTTTGTGTGTATAGGTGTTTTGCCTGCATGCATGTCTGCCCACCACTTGTGTGCAGAGGCCACAAGAAGGTGGCAAATCCCTGGGACTGGGTAACGGGTGGTTGTGAGCTGCCATGTGGATGCTGGAAATTAAACCCAGTCCTCTGGAAGGACAGCCCGTGCTCTTAACTGTTGAGTCATCTCTCCATCCCATTTTTTTTCCATCCCATATTTTATGTTTTTGCTTCATGTTTGCAAATATTACATAGGTTATGAACTTAATTGAAAAACCTAAACCTTTCCTTGGGACTGGTGCCATAGCTCGTTTGGCAGGGTATTTTCCTAATATGCTCAAAGCCCTGACTGAGTTCAGCACCTAGAATCGCCTTAACCAGGTCTAGTGCTTCAAAGCTGCTGTCCCATACATACTCCCTGCTCTAGAGAGAAGTAGAGGCGAGGGATGGGAAGGTCATAGCTGACTGTGGTTACTAAGGTTGAAGCCAGCGTGGGACATGAAAACCTATGATATGAAAACCTATCAATGAAAGTGCAGAAAGAGGAGTGGGCTGCCGTGTGGTCAGCAGGGCGCTTGCCGTGTACAGGTCCTGGGTTCATAAATAAACTAAGGCTTTGATTAAACTTTTCTATTTGTCCATTTGAGGGTAGAGCTGATGAGTCCCGATCAGACTGGATACCAGAGGGAGCGTAGTAACTGAGCCCTACTGAATGGTGCCGTGTGCGCTTCAGTCATGAGTTCAAAAGACAGTTCGAAATGTAGGCTGTTACTCATGTGGCGTCTGACATGACTGGGCTGTTGTCAGCTGACTGGAAATACTCTTCATAAAAAATTAGAATACACAGTTCACTTTTTAAAATTATTTATTTATTATGTATACAATATTCTGCCTACACGTATGCCTGCAGGCCAGAAGAGGGCACCAGACCTCATTACAGATGGTTGTGAGCCACCATGTGGTTGCTGGAAATTGAACTCAGGACCTTTGGAAGAACAAGCAATGTTCTTAACCGCTGAGCCATCTCTCCAGCCCCGTTCATTTTTTTTAAAAGTTCCATTTACAAATCTATAGATACTAACTTGTTAACGTAGTTTAGTCTTTTAGGTGGTATATTTTAAATCCTAGTTCTAAACTAAACATCATTATGAAATTGGTAAATAGTGTGTGTGTGTGTGTGTGTGTGTGTGTGTGTGTGAGAGAGAGAGAGAGAGAGAGAGAGAGAGAGAGAGAGATGTGAAGTCACGTGTGTGGAAAGCAGAGAACTTGTGGGAGTTGGTCTCTTTTTCCACTTGGTTGGACCTGGGAATCGAACTCAGTTCATCAGATTTGGCAACAAGTTTCTTTCCCCACTGAGCCATCCTGCTGGGTGTCACTGTGCCATTTTGAACATTAGGTCAGAGTGTGATGGTTGGACTCTGTGGCGCTAACTCGAAGCTGAGAGTTGTATGTGCTGCGTTCTGGCTTCCTGTGGACTGGGTTGTTGACACGGCGCTGTCTCTTCTAGCCCCTAAGTCTCCTGAGCTGCATTTGGAACCCCTGAACTGCACTACCATCTCCGTGAGGTGGCTGCGAGACACTGAGGACCCAGCCATCATTCAGGGCTACAAGCTCTTTTATAAAGAGGAAGGGCAGCAGGAGAATGGACCTATCTTCCTAGACACCGGTGACCTGTTCTATACGCTCAGCGGCTTGGGTGAGTGCGCCTGCGTAGTGCAGGTCCTTTATCCCTCTGCTGGGACCAGTGGGGGAAGGGTTGTTGGATGGAAGAGGCTGAGTCTCTGTGACCTTACACAGGTCTCCTTTCCTCCCACTCTGGGGGGGGGGGGTCTGTTTCTCTTTAATGATGGCTTTTGGTACAGCGAGATCTCGATCTGTTGTTATGGGTATCCGTTGGAGGTAGAAGAGGATTGTAGGGGCCAGCAAGATGCCGCAGTGAGCACACACACTTGCTGTGCAAGCCTGGTGACCAGAGCTCAGTCCCCCGATGTCAGTGTGGAAGGGGGAACTGACCCCTGAGAATTACCCTTTGTCCTCCACGTGCATGTGCGCCCACGTTACACATGTCTGTTCACACACACACACACACATAAAACAAAGAATAAGATTGCAGAGTGAAGATTTTGCAGTGATTTTAAGTACGTTTAACTTAGAATTTGCTTGATTGCTATATTGGTATAAAACGATTTACATAAATGTCATGTAATAATGCCCCTACCTCGGCCCCGCATGGCTGTAAATATTTACTTCATGGTCCCAGACGCACTGGAGATAAGACACACACCCCTGGTGTTGGCGTCATCTGTGTTCTCAGAGACACTGCCTTGTCCTTATTTTATTTTCTTTATAGGAGAAAAGAACTCCATGATGTAATCATGTTTAACAAATTATGAGATTGGGGCTGGGGAGATGACTCAGTTGTGGAGAGCTTGCCTAACACGCATGAAGGTTTAATCCCTAGGTTTAATCCCCAGCTCTGTAGTGAGAGGGAAAGAGAGGGAAGGAGGGGACAGGAGCACTGAGACAAAGACACAGTGGGAGACCAGAGAGACCCCCTGGACTGTTGTGGCGGCTGAAGCACACAGTAGGAGTTTATGAACCCCTGTGGCTTCTCCTTTCAGATTACCCTTTGGAGATGATGTCAGGGGAGAGGCTCTAGTGTGGGCATCACCATTTCCATCCCTGGGTCAATAGGACACGCTGTGAACCTGTCCCCAGATGCAGGAGCGCAGAAATCCATCCCATGGTTCCTTGCCATGGTTTTCCAGATGGTGTTTTGCTTGTAATCTTATTATTTGGTTTTTAATTTAATTTGCATTCAGTTAAATAAATTTACTGTCGATCTCTGTCATGAAGCTTATAAATGATGAGCTGTGACATATGGTCCAGGTCGAGCTTCCTCCTTAATCCACTGGTTACAATGATGTTAGCCCAGCCTCTAGGGCCCGAGACTTCCATGCTTGTGGCTTCTCAGTGCCCTCTCTTTCCATGAGCTCGTGGTTGCTGAGGGGGGGGGGGGACTTGTTGCTTGTATCTAGTAGGAAAACTGTGAGACAGTTGGTGAAGAGCTGTAGATCAAGGCGGGGATGGTCCAGTGGTTATGAGCATGTACTACTATTGCAGAGGACCAGAATCTGGTCCTGCATCCGGATAGCAGCTCACACCCACCTCTAACTACCGCTCCAGGAGACCATCTGCACTGGCACGTAGATGCTCCTGCAAACACATAAATCAAAATAACTTCTAGGGGCTAGAGGGATGGCTCAGAAACTAGAGCACTTGCTGCTGTTCCTGAGGACACAAGCATTCACGTGGCACCTCAGCCACCTGTAACGACAGTCCCAGGGGATCTGACAACCTCCTCTGGCCTCCAAGGACACCAGGTACACACGTAAGCACATAGATACATATGCAGGCAAAACATTCATATGCATAAAATGAATAAATGTTCAAAAATATACAAGAAAAAAGTGTATAGTTCAAACTCAGTACTTCAATTTTTCTCATTGTTAAGGAAGTTGAACTATGTAGGAGAAACAGAAACACATTCTTCAACATGATTCTTGGGCATACATTCCAGCTAGTTTATCTTAAAAAGTTGGATAATTGCTTAGAAAGTAAAATAAACTCTGCTCTTGCAAGAAGCTCAGAAATGTTGCCCTGAGACTTTGCCAGCGAGCACGGTGGTGCACAGTTGTAATCCCAGCGCTCTGGAGAGGGTGGTGGGGGGTTGTGGACTTGGAGATCATCTTCAGCTATGTAACAAATTCATTTGTCTCAGAAATCAAAACAAAACAAAACTCACCAGCAGTTAAAAGCAATTCTTTAACGTGTCGTTAAAATTTATTTTTATTATTATTTTTTATCATGTGTATTTGTGTAGGGTATGTGCCCTCAGAGGCTTGAAGGGAGTGTCTTTCCTCCTGGAGGTGGGTAAGGAGAATCAGACCCTCTGGAAAAGCAACGTGTGCTCTTACCTGCCGAGCCACCTCTCCAGCCCCAATTAGCTAACATCTAAAAGTTTTCTAGGGTAGCTGTGAATGGGATAGATAAGGAAAAGACGCATATATACAGAATGTTCCATAGTTTATCCGTTTGGAGAGAGGTAGGGAAGGGAGATAGGCCCACTGATTTTTTTTTTGAACTCTTATGCTCTCCAAATAATAGCTTTCAAAACTATAAACTTGTTTCCTCTTATGTTTTAAAAATCAGTTATATGGGGCTGGGAAGGCAGCTTGAGGGGAAAGCGCATGAGGACCTGAGTTTGAATGCCCAGAAGCCACGTAAAGCTGGTCGTGGTGTCGCGTGACTGCAATCCCAGCGTGCCTACGAGGACGTGGGGAGGAGATGGGAGACAGAAGACTCTGGGGAGCTCGGGGACAGCTAGCCGTGGCCAGGCCGTGGGGGTGGGGGATAGGAAGGTGGGATAATAGGGAGTACTGACACCTGAGGCTATCCTCTGACCCTCACACATATTCCATGCCGTGTGTGCATCTGCATCCACACACATGGATGTGTAAGCGCACAGACGGCACAGGTTTAAAATGCTGATCATACACATGTACTGGTTTTGCTGTAACATCTGCTGTGTGTGCCATTTGAAGTAGCTCCATCTAGAATCATTTTTGTGTGGGGAAGCACACGTATTTACTCATGTACTTACGCGTGTGTATACACACACACACACACACACACACACACACACACACACACACACACACACACACACACACAGAAGCCGGAGGTTGAAGTCGGTTGTCTTCCTTCTGCTCTCCACCTTGCCGTTTGGAGACAAGTTCCCCCTCACTGAACTTGGAGCTCTGACAGGTTAGATAAACTGAGCAGCCCGCCCCAGGGGCCTCCTGTCTCTGCCTTCCCAGTGCTGGGATTCCATAGGTTGTGTTTTTATGTATGTGCTACCGGATCCAAACAGAGGCCGTCATGCTTGGGAGGCAAGTATGTTACTCGCCATCTCTCCTGGCCTGTGAAGTCACTTTAAATGCGTCAACTAGAACATGATTTTGGGATAGCGGACATGCCGTGTCAATTTAAGTAGCTCCGTGTTTCCTGACTGTAGAATTAGTTTGAATGACAGGATTGCTTGAGTTTAAGGTAGCGAGGCCTCTGTACTTGTAGGTACTCCTAACCAGGCAGCAGGTTCAGAATCCCTGCGTCTGCTAGTAACACCCCGAGTGGCTGGCGGGGATGTGGCTGTGTGGGTTCAAGTACTGTTCAGCTGTAGAGCAGAGACTTTCTTCAAGGTGCCTTCTAACCTGAGAGTCCAGATTCTAATCTGCTTTATTAAGTTCCCATCAAAGCCTGGCCGAGCTTTTGGCAGGCAAGTGTTAAGATGTGGGAAGGGCAGGGTGCTCCGTGAAGGGGACAGCTGACCATCTGGGACCGTTTTTAGCCAGAGCATCTGGCAGTGGCTGCCTGTTTAACAGAGAGTGATGTGTCCAGAGGGCAGTAGGTTAAGGGAACCCTGTTTGTGCCTGGGCTGGTGAATGCAGGCTTTCACAGAGCCCTTGCTGGGGAAGGATGCTCAGAGTGGAGCCGGCTCTCCTAAGTGGGCTTGGAAATGAATTCACACGCTTCTGCTTACTGATCGAATGTCAGTTTTGTATAACAAACTGCTTTCTCAGAATTTCATTTTCACACCAACCCCCTCTGAGCGCTGTCCCCCCAATCGTCGCTGCTTTCGTTTCTGGTAATTAAGTTTTCTCTTTAGAAAGTATGTTATTAGGACATGATCTCCCTGGAAATGTGCACAATTCTTTGTTCTAGACAGAAAAGCGAATGCATTTATATCTTTAAGCCAATTTAAGTGTTTAAAAAGAAAAGATGACGAAAAGCTGTGAGGGTCCAGGTTCCACTAAAAACAGGAAGGATGAAGCCAAATGATATTTAATTGGCTGGCTTGCCCAGTGTTCCTGCGCATACCCAGTTAACTAAATTTAATTGGTGTTATTAGTGGGAGGCATTTTACATCATTTTACTCTAATGCTTCAAAGCTGGGGTCCTTTAGATGTGGACTCCTTTGTAGGTTGAAGAAATCTCATGTCTTAAATTATTATATAATTTAATAGTAAATTATATAATAGTGCATATATGTTATAGTAATATAATATATAAAACATATAATGTATAATGACATACTATATGATAGTTTAATATCATATATACTAGCTTTGTATGTACAAGGCCTGGTGTCCTGTCCCCAGCATTTAATAATAAAGTGTAATATGAATTTTAATGAGAGCAGAGGAAATATTTGAGTGTTTTTAGTTTGTTCTGGTTTGACTCTGAAATGCAGTTTGCTTTCCTGGGATCTGGCTTGCTTTGTCGGGAGAGGAAGAAGGAAGCATCAGGCTTGTGGCTTGGTCACTTTTGGGAACTGTTCTGAGTGTTGTGCTCACGACCCTTCAGGATTTACTCATAAGTAAATTTTCCTTGCCTCTTTGTGTGTTCATTTGAGTTACAGGATAAATGTTTGCAGCATTTATCACACAATAGACAAAAAATAATAAGACATCTATATCCCCTGATATAGTAGATTGAAAAAAATCCTCTTATTTATTTAAAAAGATAAATTTTACGGTTATTTGTTTTTATTTTGCATGTGTGCGTGTGGGCATGCGCGTGTCACAGAGTGGATGTGGAGACCCAAGGACAAAAAAAGTCAGTTTTTTCTTGCAC